AATCCTAGAGTGTCATTAGGCAAAATAGAGGGCTAGATTTATGGAGGAAGGAAGGGATGTGGAAAAGCCCACATTTCTTTACATTCTGTTAGAACAATAGCTCCTGAGGTAGCCAGGGATCATGTTTTCTAACAGTACCTTCATTCCTGAGTAAGTTGATGTCTTTAGGGTCTAAATCATATTCTGCAATTGTAAAGAAATCTGATATTATCGGGCCCTGATTGATGAGGTGTTTCTCTGCCTTGAAAGGATTCAGGAAACCAGTATCTTTTGACATTCACTTCCAGAAGGATCTTCCTTTGGTGTCTAGGGAGACCCGCTCTATGAGACATTGGATGCACATCCAATGGCAAGTAACTCAGTGATCTGTACTTTAAAAGGGGCTGTGTGACAAAGGTGGGGGCCCTGTCATAGGGAGAGGCTTTCAGTGCAAAGCTTCACTAGCCCTGCTCTTGTATGGTTTTGAATTTTTTCTGTGTCCTTATTTAATGCCATTTTAAGTTAGCGCCCTTTTCAAGCAAAAATTATGTTTTTATGTTTGCATTATTTTGTTGTTGTTTCCCCCAGAGGAAATACTATAGTAGAAATTTATTGACTAGATGGTTACATACTTTAAAACATGGAATCTATTTTTAATAAAATGAAATAGCAACATGTATATCTATGTTACCTGAAATAAACTGTTTGCATATGAATTTGGTTTGTTTTTTTCTGACTTGTATAGGTCTTAACTTTTTTTTTAAATGATTCACTTAATATACATTTGAACTTACTTTATGTCACTAAGTATAATTTTGGCCTATGTATTTTTAGTTATAACAGCTACTTGATGAGTATTTAGGAGAAGAAAGGATTTAGACTCGGGTCATACAAAAGGGAAAAAGAAAAAGAACTAGAAGACATTGATTAAGGTCAGGATTTAAGGATAAATTGCACCAATCAGCAATTTAAAAAAAAAAAGCCCTCTGCCCACACCTGACCTGGAGAAAAGAATTGGCTTATTTTTAGTCACATTTGGGAAACAGATTGTAGAATTATTCTGTGTGCAGACTGGTAATACAAATCATATACCTCAGCTATCAAAATAATAAAACGAAGTAAAATGTCATTGGGCATTCAAACGACAATGGATGATGCTTCACAATCTTTGATTTTCTGGAAAATAAATAGAGAAGTTTGCTAAATGAGAATTTTTTTAAAAAAAGTTGTCATCAGGGAATAAATAATGGTATATTCTCATCAGCTTCAAAATATTTCCTCTGTGACCAGATTCATAAAGGTTATGAAAAGATGAGACAACTTAATTTTTTACGAAGGGTTGGGATTGGTCCCTGCAACTCTGTTCTGAGCTGTAGCTTGGAAATGTAATTGGTTTTAATTAATCATAAAGTAGTGTCAGAAATGTGTTCACAGTATTACTGCAAGTCTGAGCTGCTGCAGATCATTTTAACGACTTCCTGTCCACCCCCTCTTTTCCTTTTTTTTTTCTTTAAAGTCAAGAAACATTGGGGAAAAGTGAATAGGTTTTGTGTTTTTTTTTTTCCTTTTTGATCCAGCAATTTGTGCACAAAACTTCCCCCCCAAAAAAAGATTTTATTATTGAGGAATTGGGGGAGGGGAACAGACAAGTTGCTGTCCTTTTGTTCTTCAGTCTAGTTGTGGAGGCCGTCACTTCACTGGCCCATGTTAGTATTATTATTGTGCTCTTTCCAGGAGAGGCAGTTGCTCGCTGGCCATCGGACAGCCGCTCATGGCGGCTCACCGCAGCTCATGAAAGCTCATGCCATCTGCCAGCTAGCTCCACTGCAGCCTACACCATTGCTGGTGACTCATGGCAGCCCCGCTCCAGGTCGAGCTGTTGTTCACCACCTTAGCTGTAGAGGGCGCAGCATCACTGGCCCTCGTGGGATCTGAACCAGGGCCCTGCTGCTCAGAGCTGGCATCCCAAGCTAACTCCTAACCAACACGCCACTCGGCCGTCCCTGTGCACAGAACTTTTAATTATACAGAAGAGACAGAATTGTATTTTAACTTATTTTTAGAAAAGACAAAATTTTAATTTTAACTGAGTTCTAACTGTTGGGCCACATTTATGACAAATGTTTGTAAATGAATGAAATAAAGTTTGAAATAAGAAAGCACTCTAGCCTCTGTGCTAAGGTAGGAAGAAAGTAGACTAATACTTAGAAAACCAGATGTTAGTTCCTGATCTGTCATACACAAGCTGAGTGATCTTGGGCAAGCCATCACTGTTTATCATTACTTTTCTTGTTTATCATCGATTCAGCATGCATCGTGGAAAATCCACTACCATTCAAGAGATTGTTTCTGTTTATATACAGTGACATGGAGTATTAGAAATAGGCTCTGATTAGTTCTTATTTCAGAATTCATGACTTCTTCGTGCCTGTTTTTTTTTCACCTAAACTCAGTTTGTCTCTTCCATTAGATGTTAAACTCTCCTCAGATCAGAAACAATATTGTTGCATTCTTGGGCTCAGCATCCAATAAGTGTTCACCAAGATAATTCCTCATTAGGAGTTAAGATTCTTCTTCATTTAAAATCGTTTCCCTACATGGAAATAAGCCTAGTGGAAAGAGGCTGCTGTTTCTATAGTCAGTAAAAATGGCTTCATCTTAACTCCCTATCCAACTAACCACGATTATATAAATAACATTTTGTTGCCTCAGCTTTCTCATCTACCATGTAGATATATTTTAAAGATACATTATAATGATGAATAGATGAGCGAGTTCTTTGACAAGTTAAAAGTACTATTTAATTTTTAGTTACTATCATTATGAACAAAACTTTTGTGAAAATATAGGACACAGTTTTGCTTTCCTGGCCAGACACATAAAGAGGTAGTTTATATGAATGTGTGGCCATTCTCTGAGCACTCATAATCGGTGTTCACCATCTTCTTGAAATCCTGAATGGTTCCTGGTGCTATCCCCTGTGAAGGAAGAATTTCCCCAATTATAATCCAGGTTTGGATTGGACCCATTCTTGTGCAAACCAGTTGTTCACTCTGCTGCTAAGTAGTTATATGCCATATTAGACAGGTTGGCATTTTCCATTACACTACCTTGGTTGCTGTAATGGTCTTGCTACTTCAGGGAATTCATGGGCCTCCTTAGTTTGCTGTGCTAGAACCCCTTAGTAAGAGAGAGAAGCTGGATCATCCTGCTTTGTCTTAAACTAGGATCTACTGAGTCACCAAAATGCATGCTTCAGGATGGGACTGTGAAAGACAACCAACTCAAGTTCTGAGCAAGAGAGTACTGTGTTAGTGTGTTTAATTCAGGTGTCCTGCTCTTAGAGTTCTGGTCCACGAATCCTCAGGCATGGGTCTCAGGGGCAACGTCATTCAAACACATTTTGAATACTTGTAATGGATGCCTGGCAGAGAGTACGTACTTAATACTTTTGAAAAATAGATTATCAAAGGGTTCATATAATAATGTCTATGGAATACTTACTTTATGCGTAATTGAGGGAGACACATAAGAAATACATGACATGGTTTTATACCTAATATGGTAATTTACCTCAGAAGACAAGGCAAGCGCCTATGAAATATTTGAGTATTTAAAGTGAGGAGTTTCTAAGTGATAGAATGAATGCTTTGAAGTATAGGGCTATAAGAATGCAAAGACATGGGGAACCACTGAAAAAGTCTCTTAGGAAGTGAAACTTGAGGTTGATTTTGAAAGATGGATGGGATTTAAGAAGATAAAAGGGCGTTGGCATTCCAAGAAGCAGTAATAGCATAAGACAATATCTGGAAATGGAAATGGGTGTGTTTATTTCACTCTTTACTTTTGGGCAATGTGGAGGTTGGGGTGGACGTCAGAGGTGGGTATTTAAAACAAAATAGGATTATAACATATAATATATATTATAACTATAGAAACACTCACAAATGTGTATTAAGATGTATGTGTAAAGATACTTATTGTTCAAAATAGCAAAAAATTGAAGTAATTTAAATTCTGTCAGTAGGGGAATGGTTAAATAATTTGTGGTGCAGTAATACCATGAAATACTAGAAAGTAGTTGAAAAAAATAAAGTAGATCTTTGTGTACTGACATAGAAAGACTACCAGGAAATATACAACAGTATATTAATGGTGAAAATGCATTCATGTGGTGTTTGTCAACTTTGAAAATTGATTTTTAAAAAATCATAGTGGAAGTTTGGGAAGATTAATGTGGTGACATTGTGTCAAGTTAAAAGGGAGTGATTGAAAGTGAAGAGGGATATTGGGAGATTTTTTTTTTTAAGATTTTTATTGGGGAATTGGGGGGATGGGAACAGCGCTGGGGAATTGGGGGAAGGGGAACAGACAAGTTGCTGTCGTTTTGTTCTTCAGTCTAGTTGTGGAGGACGTTGCTTCACTGGCCCAAGTTGGCACTATCATTGCGCTCTTCCCGGGCGAGGCAGATCAGTCGCCAGCTTCTGGACGGCCACTCACAGCAGCTGCTGGCCGCTCATGCTGGCTGCCGTCCACACATGGTAGCTTATGGCAGCCCACTGCAGCAGGGGACTGCAGCCTACGCCATCGCAGGCGACTCACAGCAGCCCAGCTCCAGGTCGAGCTGTTGTTCAGCATCTTAGCTGTAGAGGGCACAGCGTCACTGGCCCTTGTATGTGGGATCCGAACAGGGGCCCTCTGGCGTCCCAAGCCAGTTCTTAATGATCGCGCCACTCGGCCAGCCCGGGAGATATTTTAATGAGTACAGATACGGAAAGCCAAAGCTAGGGACCTAGGTGGTAAACAGAAAGAGAGAACCCAGAAACATCCTTAAGAATGATTTTAAAGGTCTTTATGACAGATTGTTGATATAGGGGATGAAGGCAAGAGGAGAGAAAATAGATTTTTAGGTTTAAGCTTAAGAAATATACATTGAAGAATGATTTCTACTAACTGGAACAGACTCATGTTAATAGGAAACCTTCTTTAAAGAATTTATTTTTTTTGTGGTTGTTTTTCAGGATGGAAGAAACAGTACGAAATCTATTGCAGAGTCAAGGACCTCCAGAGCAGAAAAAAGAAGAAACTGTTAATATAATGGTCTATCAGGTACACCGTGTTTCTTACCGTTGATTTGATACCAGTCGGCTTGTTTTTCTCATATTTCTCTAGCTCTGACCTTCCTAACCCAGAGATAAATAAACAAGTATGGTCCAGGCCCTGGTGCTCAAAGTCTTATAATTACCTTTGTTTGAAGAATCATGTAGACATTTATTTAACTCATTCATTTCTTGAACTCCCATGAAACAGACTGTAGTTGGTTGTAGTGAGATGTAAAAAAAATAAGTTTTCAGTGACACAGAGAGGTCTATAAATGTACCACAGTACTCTGTGGTCTGGGCTATAATAGAGGTATCTCTGACATTCTCTGGGAACACAGGGGAGGGGGTGACTCATCCTGTCTGGGGAGTTAAGGAATACTTCCCAGAGGTGTGACATTTAAGGTGCCTAGATAAAGGTGCAGTGGTGCAACTTTGCATGGCAGGCTCATGGACAATGAGAAGCTCAAGGTAGCAAAATAATGCCTGGTGTGAGAAAGTTTGACTGTGAGACTGAGCGTGCACAGGGGAACTGGACATGGTCATGCTGTGCTCATGGATGTGGCCTGTGCACCTCAGTGAGTCTAAAGAGAGTAACTGGTCAATGCAGTAATAATTTGTCATCTCCCAGTAGCAACAGCTCTTATCCCAGGACCCTGTAACCTAACAAAGTGGCCAGGCGGGGAAACAGGACATCTAATCTGAGTGTGACCCAAATGGACCACACAGAAGAGGAGGCTCTGGCAGGCGGGAAGAGAAATCCAGCAGAAAGAGCACAGACACTCTACGTAGATAAATTGAGGCCTTTTCTTGAAAACCACTTAAAATCACAAATTGAGACCCAATATCCATTGCACAACCCTGCATGGCGAGCAAGAAAAGCGAAGGAAGGCAAGGAAAGGGGCAAAAATTTGAGGAAATCACTGGGCATCCCTTGATGTTTGCTGGCTGAGAAGGAAGTGGGTTTGAGGGGACAAGCACAGGATTCTGGCTGGTGAAGAAGATAATGTCGGCTAGCTTCCCTCAATTCATGGGATCGGAGCTCTGCAACCCAACTTGTTAGGAAAAAGATTGGGAACACCCTGATCATAAAAGTCACAATATCATAGAAAATTAAGACATCTAGGAAGAGTTAGCCTTAAGAAGCCTATGTCCTGAGCAGTTGACTCTTGAAACAGATACAGGACTACTTTAGGACGAGGGAGCAGCTCTTCTCCCTCTCCAGGGAATACAGTGAAAGGAGTTGACTTAAGCTGCCTCAGAGATTAAAGTTAGCACCATAAAGACAATAGAAAAATCACTAAAATCCATTTCTTGTGAAAGAGATTAGATTCTTCTTGAGGGGATGGTCTTTACATAAGGAACGCATGTCCCACTTTTCCTGATGTGTGGTCCCCTAAAGTTAGCATAACTCCTAGCCCTGAGCCTCTCCTGGGTATTATATCTGCTTTGACAGAAAATTAATTTGTATGTAAAAAGAAAGGGGGACTTGAGTCTGCATTAGGCGATTCTGTGCAGCCTAAAAGCATCATATGAATCTGAAACATTAGTCATTTGCTCCCCTCATGGGCCCCACCAGGCTTCAGTGAGAACTAAATAATTCAGCATCACTCTTGTGCTCCTTCCAATCTCCTCCTTGCAGCTCATCCAGGCTCTTATTTTCTTTTGATCATTTTTTTCTAATCTCTCCACCATTTATTAGCCAAATCTGTGGTGTAGACACTTAACATCATCATCAGAATTCATTTTATGAAACCGGAAGTTACTTAGAAAAACAGATGCACTTTAAAAAATGTGTTTTAAAACTATGTCCTCTCATAACCCGGCCTATTAGGTTTGGGGAATCAGCTCTTCCCTCTAAGGAGAAGGCAGTTATTCACTTGAATTAATACTACACGGAAGAGATTTTTCAGTTATTGCTCTAATGGCCTCAGGCTCATTTGCTGAAAAATAAAGGAGACACCCCTGGGTTTACAGGACCCATTCAGTCATTTACACATTCCACAGGTATTTTCTGAGCTTGTGGTATTTACTAGGCACAACCTTGCTCTCTGGGGATTCAAGAAACAATAACGGAAAGAAGGAAAAGAGAAGTCTTGCTGGGCAGCACTGAGTCCCAGGGAGGTCCCTGCCATCTCACAAATTCTGGTATTCTAAATATGGCTAATAGTAGCAAAATAGGTTATGCAAGATGCGCGTGGTGACAGAGTAGAGCACATATTTAACACCTTCCTGAAGCCAAATTTTGTGTTTCGGTTAAGGGCTGGGAGATTTATTGCTTCATAATGTGGGGTGTTATTAGCACACCCGCTTCAGATTTTCCAACAGCAAAATCTGTCTGACAGGAGCCAGAGGCCCATGTAAAGCTGAGGCCCATGGGAAAGCTGGAGTTGGTTTCATTTTCAACTGTGGAAGCATTTGTTCTGAGGCTTTTATCATTGAGCTAATATAATAATAGCAGAATAATAGCTTTCTTTGTTCCAGGCCCATGCTAATTGCTTTGCATGCATTAAAGGGTGGTCGTAGTTTGTCCAAGAGGTGTATTCCTGAAGACCTCTCGTAATTTGTTACTGGTATAATTTATAATGTGCATAATTCAACATGGCTTCTCTCAAAGGGTGGTGGGTGTTTCTGTTTAACGGCTGAAGCAGACTCGCCGCGTGGCATCAGTTATTTACAGTTTATCCACCTTGCCATTGTGCAGTTCTTGACTTTTTTTTAATTTGATGAATGAACAAGATTTTAGGGTTTCTGTAGGAAATGACATTAATAACATCTTTATGTGACCACAATTTCAAATTCACCTAGTTCAGAGTCCCATTGATTGAGACTTGACTGCAGCTCATTGAGTCCCCACAACAACTGTGTACAGGAGGTACTGTCACTATTCCCATCTTACAGATGTGGACATAGGCTCAGAGAGGTGTCTTTGCCCAAGAATGCACAACCTAGAAGTAGCCTAGAAGGAATTCAAATCCTAGTGTCTGACTGCATGGCTCCAGCTCTTTATGCTGAGGAATTCTGGAGAGATTAAATGATGGGGCCCAAAATACCCAATGATTATTATCTAACTTGGGACCTGAACCTAAGCCTTTCCACTTTCTATCTAAAGCTTCTACCTTCATTCATTCATTCTTTTATTCATTCATTCATTCAAAGGACAATTATTCATTTACTTTTTTACATAAGTGTATTACAATAGTTTCCTATTACTGCTATACCAAACTTAGTGGCTTAAAACTGCACAAATTTATTTTCTTATAATTCTAAAGATCAAAAGTCTAATGTCATGGTGCTGTCAGGGCTGCATTTTTTTTGTCAGCTTCCGGGCAGAGCCATTTCCTTGCCTTTTCCAGATTCTAGTATTCCTTGGCTTATGGCCCTGTCCTCCATCTTCAAAGTGCATCATTCCAAACTCTGATTCCATTGTCATATCTCCTTTTTCTGAGTTTGACCCTCTCTCTTTCTCTTATAAGGACCTTGTGATTACATTGGGTTCATCCACATAACCCAGGATAATCTCCCCATTTCAAGATTCTCAATTTAATTACATCTGCAGAGTCCCTTTGCCATGTAAGGTAACATATTCCCAGGTTTCAGGGATCGGGATGTGGACAAAGGTGGGGACATTCTTCTGTCCATCACACTAAGTAACACATTAACCGAGCAGGCTGGCAGTACCTGGCAGACCCCACGCTAAGTGCTGGAAATACAAAGATGCTGCCTGATAGAGTTTCTCCTAGAAATCTCAGTTTATAGGATGATGGACAGTGGGGAAAAAAGGCAAGTGATCAAATATAAGCAACAATGTGATGGGAATACAAAGGAAGATGCCACTAAACCTAACACTGTTCTTCCTGGAGACTGCCTTCTGCCTCAGACTTATTTTTAATAATCCATTTTCCTTTTCTTTAAGTCCTTGTTGGTTCTTGAAATGGACTCAAGAGTCATGAGCTTCTTAGGAGTCCCACAGCCTGCCTTTCTCAGAACATCTTATATCCCAGTATTTTAATTTTATACAATGTCTGACTAACAGGATACATGCGTTGGGTGCTTTACAGTTTACAAAGTTCTTACACAAAATGGATGTCATTTGTTTGTTCCAACAGTCTCTAAAATAGATATTATCACCCTCATTTTTAAAGATGAGTCTCAAAGAGGCCTGTTTCAACTCTGGCAGATGCTAAGTGGTAGAAATAGAAATAAGTCACAGACTTTCCTAAATGAGACACATGGAATCAAACTGAGCAGTTCTGTGTAGGATAATTTGATTGTGGGGTGGGGAGTGGGCACAAACTCTCTAGCTCACAAAGCCATGTCTCAAAACACAAAAAATAAGTGAAAGTAAACCAAGATAAATTAATAAGCTAAATAATGTTCGTGCCTGTCATTTTTCCTATGGGAAAGACAAGAGCATGAGTAAGAGAATTATTATTATATGTAGGGAAAGAGACATACCTCGCACCAAGAACAATCTTCCTTCATTAGGGGAAATAAAAGATCTCAAAAGATTGTCTGTAGAGGAACCAGAATAAGTAGAAGCGTCTTCAGTTTCACTTCTGCTTTTTTTCTTTCTCCAATTTATTCTCTCGAGGTGTTTTGGAGTTTCTTATATGCTGTGTTACATATTTTTATCACCCAGGTCACCATTTCATTTAGTCAAGTAAGTTAGGGAACATGAGAAAAAAAATCATAATTAGACATGGAAGGTAGCAATTAAGCATAAATGAAATGGAGTAACTGGTTGGAGAGGGGCATCATTCCTGCAAGCTTCCTATTTAAACCCAGGCTGTCTGACTAAGATACCAATAATCCTAACACTAACGATGGATTACGCCCATACAGTCTTTTGTGTCCAGGGCGTCCCTCTGTGCTCTTTTGTTGTAGCTGAAACACTTCCTCTCGTTTCTGCTTTTCTCTCTGGAACATGAAGTGAACCTACATTAGCTAATTAATTTAGAAAGAAAAAAGTGGATGGACACGTAGAAACACTAACAAGGGGAGGAAAAA